GTTGCCCATTTGGTCTCGTGTATTTGATTGAACTAAGGTGAAGCAATTCCTCACGTGTGTTATTTTTGTATTATACGCTTGTGTAACCTTTGTCTTCTAGAAAAATTGGAAATCATCAAAACTGAAATGGAACCCATAAACATCGATATCTTAGGCATTAGTGAGCTGAAATGGAATGGTATTGGCCTTTTTGAGTCGGACAATCATATGGTCTACTCTGCTGGGAATGACAACTTGAAGAAGAATGGCATTGCATTTGTTGGCAAAAAGAACATTTCAAGATCTATCCTGAAGTACAACGCTGTCAGTGATAGGATAATATCCATACGACTACAAGGAAGACCAGTTAATACAACTATTATTCAGATTTATGCATCAACCTCTAAGACCAAAGATGAAGAAATTGAAGATTTTTACCAACTTCTGCAGTCTGAAATTGATTGAACGTGCAATCAGGATGCATTAATAATTATTGGTGATTGGAATGTGAAAGTTGGAAACCAAAGAAGAATCAGTAATGGGAAAATATGACCTTGCTGATAGAAACGATGCCAGAGATTTGCATGATACAATTTTGCAAGACTACCAACGACTTCTTCATTGCAGATACCTTTTTTCACCAACATAAACGGCAACTATACACGTGGACCTTGCCAGATGGAATACACAGGAATCAAATTGACTGCATCTGTCAAAAGAGATGATGGAAAAGCTCAATATCATCAGTCAGAACAAGGCCAAGGGCCAACTCTGGAACAGACCATCAGTTGCTCTAGGCAAGTTCAAATTGAAACTGAAGAAAATTAGAACAAGTCCACGAAAGCCAGAGTATGACCTTGAGTACGTCTCACCTAAATTTAGAGACCATCTCAAGAATAGATTTGTTTCACTGAACACTAATGACCGAAGACCAGACAAGTTGTGGAATGACATCAAGGACATCATACATGAAGAAAGCAAGAGGTCATTAAAAAGACAGGAAACAAAGACCAAAATGGATGTCAGAAAAGACTCTGAAACTTGCCCTTGAACGTTAGAGTAGTTAAAGCAAAAGGAAGAAATGATGAAGTAAAAGAGCTGAACAGAAGATTTCAAAGGGCAGCTCGAGAAGACCAAGTATTATAATGACATGTGCAGAGAACTGGAGATAGAACACCAAAAGGGAAGCACACAGTCAGCATTTTTCAAGCTGAAAGAACTGGAGAAAAACTTCAAGCGTTGAGTTGCAGTATTGAAGAATTTCATGGGGAGAATATTAAACGATGCAGGAGGCATCAAAATAGGATGGAAGGAATACACAGAGTCACTGTACCAAAAAGAATTGGTTGACTTTCAGCCATTTCAGAAAGTAGCATATGATCAGGAACTGATGGTGTTGAGGGAAGAAGTCCAGGCTTCACTGAAGGCATTGGCAAAAAACAAGGCTCCAAAAATTGACAAAATACCAATTGAGATATTTCAACAAACAGATGCAGCACTGAGGTGCTCACTTGTCTATCCCAAGAAATCTGGAAGACAGCTACCTGGCCAACTGACTGGAAGAGATCTGTATTTGTACCCATTCCAAAGAAGGGTGATTCAACAGAATGAGGAAATTATTGAATAATATCATTAATATCACGTGCAAGTAAAATTTTGCTGAAGATCATTCAAAAGCAGTTGCAGCAATACATCGACAGAGTCCTTGTGTCTTTGGTTTTCTTCATACTCCTTTGATCCGGACGGGATGAGACCAACAGATGTATCTTAGATGGCCGATCACAAGCTTCTAAGACCCCAGACGTTACTCACCAAAGCGGGATGTAGAATATTTTCTTTATGAACTATGTTATGCCAGTTGGCGTAGATGTCCCCCGAAACTATGGTCCCCACCCCACCACTCCAGCTGCTCAGTCCCTCAAAGTGTTTGAATATATCTAGGAAACTTCTGTGCTTTTGCTTTGGTCCAGCTGTGCTGACTTCTCCTATAGTGTGTGTTGTCTTTCCCTTTACCGAAGTTTGACACTTGTCTGCTATCTAGTTAGAGACTTCCCCTTCCCGCCCCTCCCCACCCTTGTAGCTTTCAAAGAATGTTTTTTTGTGTGTGTAAACCTTTTTTTGAGTTCTTATAATAGTGGTCTCATATAATATTTATCCTTTTGTGACTTATTTCACTCAGTATAATGCCCTCCAGATTCTTCCATGTTGTGAGATGTTTCCTGGATTCATCATTGTTCTTTATTGTTGCATAGTATTCCATTGTGTGTATGTGCCATAATTTGTTTATCCGTTCATCTGTTTATGGGCATCTAGGTTGTTTCCATCTTTTTGCTATTGTGAATAGTGTTGCAGTGAACATGGGTGTGCATAAGTCTATTCATGGCTCTTATTTCTCTAGGGTATTTTCCTATGAGTGGAATTGCTGAATCATGTGGTATTTCTATTTTCAGCTTTTTAAGGAAGTGCTGTATCGCTTTCCAAAACATACCATTTTACATTCCCACCAGCAGTGCATAAGGGTTCCAAACTCCCTGCAACTTCTCCAGCATTTGTTATTTTATGTTTTTGGATTAGTGCCAGTAATGTCAGTGTGAGATGGTATCTCATTGTAGTTTTGATTTGCATTTCTCTAATGGCTAATGATGGTGAGCGTTTCCTCATGTGTCTGTTGGCTGCTTGAATGTCTTCTTTGGTGAAATGCTTGGTCATATCCTTTGCCCATTTTTTAAATTGGATTATTTTTCTTTTTGTTGTAGAGGTGTTGAAGTATTTTGTAGATTTTAGAGATTAGACCCTTGTCGGATATGTTGTAGCCAAAAATTTTTTCCCCGTCTGTAGGTTCTCTTTTTACTGTTTTGGTGAAGTCTTTTGATGAGCTAAGTGTTTAACTTTTAGGAGCTCTCAGTTGCCTATTTTATCTTCTGGTGTTTGTGCATTGTTATGGTTTGTATCCTATTTATGCCATGTATTTTGGCCCTTAGCGTTGTCCCTATTTTTTCCTTCCATTATCTTTATCATTTTAGATTTTATATTTAAGTCCCTAGCCAGAAACTTTGTAAGTCATTTTGTATTCATTCCTTTTCCTCACTGTCCTTCCCTGCCTACAAATGTCTAAAGAGACACCAACCTAAATTACTCTCTGATTTTTACCTTCTCTCTATTCTCACTGCCACTGCCTTTATTTGGGCCTTTATCATGATCCTTCCGGTTTATCAAAATGATCTTACCTTATATTCCCATCTTTTGTCTTGTCTTTGTCTACTCTCCACCATCCCCTCATCAGTTACTTCCTCTCTACACTTACTAATGCACTAATCTAAGCAGTTGTTATTTGTTATCACAGCTGATGCTACACCAGTTCTTTGCTTCCTTGACTTTGTAAATGCCATTACTTCTGCCCACCTGTAGCTCCTGCCCTTTTGTCTGATTTATATAACTCTGTTCACTTTTTAAGACACAGTTGGAGCTGTCTTTTGTACAGGAGACCTCCACTATTAATCCCCAAAACAGAACTGATCAGTTCCTCCCTAGTTTGTTATTGTGCCATGTACCTATTCTTGTCAATGGTGGCTTTCGTACCATGCTCAGTGGAGCCCTCGTTGCTCTGTGCCCTCTACCTTTGATTCACAGCATCTTCGTTTTTATCTGCTTTACAGATTGCACTTTTTCTTCCATTTTTGTTTGAATAAAAGAATCTATGACTTTAAAGAAAGAAGTCCAAAAACTCTTTGTTTTAAATCTTATTGTACAGAATTATAATTTATTTGTTTATAAATCTGTCTCCACCATGATCTGAGCTCCATGAAGGCAAAATATGTATCTTTTTCATCTCTAGTCACTTACTTCTTAGTTTCAATTGTTTATGATGCTTTTTGCTGCCCTGAAATCATGGAAAATAAAGTTGAATAGTTCTAAAGCTAACAGTATATTCACAGGCATTTTATCAAGCTCTACTCACATCGTATTGTAAGAAACCAGCCATAAATGTGTAATTTTGTTGAAAGTGCAGAAAATTGTCTATTATAATAGAATATGAAATCAAGTACACTTCATATCTTTCCAGAATTTTTTATGCATATGCCAAAATGTATGTATTTCTGTGTTTAAGTTTTGAACTCTCTTCTTACTAATTCATTAAATATGTGTGTAGTATGAGAAATGCTAAGTTCTCACTTGATACTCAAATTATTAAAAAAGATATATATATATGCCTGCAAATCTCTTCATCTCTTTTTTTAGCAGGAACTTAGCATACACAAACACGCACACATACCTATATATATTACAAAAGTGGTTTTATGTGATGTTCTATGCCATCTTTATCTCAAAATATTTTTTAAGAAAAACTCTAGTTCTTCAGAGCAATTTGCCTGTTTCCTTTGAATTTGAGCAACAGTAAAATAAACTAAGAAAAATTTCAAAAGATCGTTTACTAAGAGGATGTAGCCTTTATGAAAAAAGTTTATCACATTGATAAGAAAAAACTTTGAGGAATAGTTATTCATATATTCCTTGTAACTTTTTATAACTTTTGCCTTTTTCCATTCAGTCCATAATTCTAAAGGAATGTTCATGCTCTACAGATGTGGAAAAATATGTTTAAGATAGCCAGTAAAAAAACATGTATTTTTAAAAATAAGGTTCATAATTCTGTAAATAGGTATATATGAAACTGGAGAAGAAGGTGGCATACTTTATACATGACTCTCAACATTTATAATCTTTAGTATTGCATTCATGGCCCCCACTGCTAAGTTATTTTAGATTAAGACCTTGCTTATTAATTCAAGTGTTGTAATTTAACATTTGTGGAATGTTCTTCGCTTTAAATACTAAATGGTCTTGAAATGGCTTAAGGACTAACTGAAAAATGAAATGTTTACAGGATTGACACTCATATTTATCAAGGCATCTCATCAGTATGCCTTGCCACAATACTCCATTTCCTGATTTTCAAGAATACTTTGAAAGTATGCGCAATGTAATTATTAACATCCATCCCTACTGAATTTGTTTTGCAGGTACTCTTTGAGCACATCCAACTCTTCCATTGCCGCTCTCCTCTGTGCTCTTTACCCACACTTCCCAGCTCATAGCACTGACAACCGGTGAGTCTAGTGGTACTTCACTAAATATTGACTGCATACAGATTTCAACGTGATATTTCTTAAATTCTCTAACAGCGTAATTTGTGTTTTGGCTTCATGTTAGAAAAGCTGGTTATTAAAGCCGAAATGATCTGTCTCTTAAGTAGTGAAAAGAATAAGTAGAGGTAGTGGCCCTATTATCTATCTTGGAAGAAGTATAACCCAGAACCAGTTGTTTTATTTGATGTTAATACCAAATCCAGGACTCATTTCCAAATTAGCATTGTTCTGTTCTTGAACTTACTTGTCTTCCTGACTGTATCTTTTTACAAGTTTCTCTCAAAAAGTTCTAGATCTAAAGAGACCTTTGAACATCTGATGACTGATAAGTCTTCCACAATTCTCAAATCTGTAGGACTTCTCTAAACTCAGAAGTAGGCCAAAAACTTTATCTATCTTTAGGAGGAAAATTATCCAGCAAAGGATAGTAGCCAGGGGAAGCTAAACCCTATACCTTTTGTGCTATAATTGTTCAGTTTTAAGAATTCTCTGTTTTAGTGAGAATGTCTGTCTATATATGTATATATTTTTTTTTTTTTTCTCTCTCTTTTACACAAATACTGAAAAGTTTTATATAAATGACATAGGACAAAAAAACAAAATGCAGCAAAAGAGCAGAGACGATTTAGCAGCGTCAGTAAGCAGTAGCCTCTCTAACCGTACAGAAGCATTCAGATAATGCAAAAGCTCTGCATTTTAAAGTGCAAAGAAACCACCAACACTTCAGATTTTCTGGAACTTTCAAATGTTGCGGATCTCTAGTGCATATAGGAGAAGAGACAAAACTAGCTTCTTATATCCCAGTGATAGGTAAGATGACCAGTCTGGGCAACTGAAGGCACCCCCACCTCCAGCAGTCTGCCCAGAGAACTGTCATTTTAAAGAACAGTATAATGTATAATCAATAATAGAGAAAAGATAGCTATTTTACAAAAGTACCCTGATCTAAGGTCCAAACTCTGATGATAGGTGGAACATAAGAATATTGTTGCTAAGTTAATACAGCTTTGACATGGGGCCTCTTGCCTGTCAGTTTAGAAAAGATTGCTTAAAATTGGTAGTCACTTACTGATTACAGTGGAAAGCCACACTTCTGTATTGATGGTCATAGGATCAGTTGGTCTAGCTATTGTAAACAAAGCAATTTCATGATAAGCACCAAGAACCTTTGTGTAATTGATAAATACCTTGATTTTATTTTCAATAGATTATAAAAATGGGTGGATTTTGGGTGGGTAGAAGGAGACTATTGTCTATAACTGCAATTTAAAAAAAAAGTCTTATCTCCCTTATGAGTTCTTAAAATATGAAAACTTTTTTGTGTCTAAATTCTGAAATATAAATTTTAAAGTCATAGCATAGCTACTGCTGTTAGAAAAATAATTTATTTAGAAAAATAATTGATCAGCATTATAAATTTTTTGAAAACTGATAAGCACACACACGGAAAAATATTAACATCTTACCCATTAATTTTTGGTGAACTGTCTTCCAAGGGTCTCTGTATGTGTGTTTGTGTACAAATATGTACATATAAAAGAGCTTTGCTATCTGAGGAAAACTGATACCCTTTCTCCCCCCTCTTCCCTACCAACTCTTAAAAAATAAAAAAAATAGGTAGAAGTAAATCCTTGAGACGGTGGTGAAAAGATATGCTGGTGTGGAGCAGAAAGGTGTATTTGAGAAGGGAGTGATTGTATAGTGATCAACTGATTAGTAAACGTTTTCATGTTAAGGCAGTTTTTACTTACCTATAAAGTCTCTCAACTGTGAGAGCTCTGATAAAGAATATTTGGATCAAAGATCAGCTGTATATAATTTTTTAAAGAGAATTTCTCTGTTACTTTTTAATTGAATCTCATCTTCTTCCTTTAAGATTGATATTCATTGGAAGATACTAGTCTAGCTTCTGCCCTCTTTCAGCTTGTAGGCAGCAGCAGATTGTAGAATTCATGCTGTCATCAACCTATTTCTTAGCTCCTCCGTGTTTTCTGTGGACAGGTATCATCTCCAGGCTCTCCGGCACCTGTACGTCCTGGCTGCAGAACCAAGGCTTCTAGTGCCTGTGGATGTGGACACAGACATGCCCTGCTATGCCCTGTTAGAAGTTACCTACAAGGTAACTTCCCACCTATGATTTACTTGTATTTTGTTACCATTCATTCATCTTTTCTTGAAGCAGGTACAAATATTTCAAAAGTGTTGTCCATTAAGAAGTGACAGTAGTGAGTTAGACTCATAAAAATTTAAGCTTGTGTATAGTGCTAATAATAGTTTCATACATTTCCTTTGTACATTTATCTGATCGATGAAGTATACCTATGCTGTATGCAGTGGGAGAAAGAAAAGGAAGATTCACATTGGTTTGGTACTTCATGGTTTATATCACACTTCTCCTTTATGTTAGTGCCCCGTAGCTTTGGGGTCTGATTTCAAATTAATACCATGAAGTAGGTACTGTAACTCAGAAGAGATAGGTGAGACTCAGAGCTTAAATGACTTGCTCAAAGTTACATTGGCAGTGAGTGATAGAATTGGGAATCAAACTATTCTTTGTATCCCAAAATTCTTGTGGGTCCTACTAGGCCATTCTTTCTTATTTGTAGTTGATGGGCATATAATTTCTTAGGGATTATCAGCTGCTTTTTTGTCCATATAATTTGTAGTTTGAAAATGTCCCTCTTAGCTTTACATAGTTGATAGAAGTGTTCTAAGAGCTAATTGAGTTAGAACTATTCTTAGATTTGTCAGCAGAGAACTTTAAAGCCAAAGATCATGTATTTAATGAGAGATCTTTAGTATGAGATACACAAATAGGTTACAAGTCATGTGTTCTTTCTTGATTCAGCAAATTATTAAGTACCTTCTGTGTATCAAAACTGCTTGATTCCAGGATTACAAAAATGAGATTCCATTGACATATTCCTTAAGGAACTTCTTTCCATTGTGGAGACAGGCATAGGTACAATAAGAATAGAGTGTGATAATCCAAGATGTATGTGGAATGCAGGGGGAGCAGTTGGGAAGTGCCCCCCTCCAGCTATGGGAACTGGGGAGGCTGTCATGGTGGACACAGTGTTTGGGCTGAGACTTGCCAGATGAATGGGTGCATTCCCAGCAGAGAAGATAGTATGTACAAAAACCCAGAGGCCTAGGAGTGCAGTCCTTCAGTACTGCTGGCATGTGAGGTGCAAGGCTGAAGTGACGGGAGGTGATGCAGACCATGCAAACGATTTTAGACCTTAGTCCCTTCAGACTTGAACATCAGACAGGATTTTATGCAATTTAATAATTTAATGGTCCGTCTGTGTGCAAACCACAGGAGAGAGGAGTTTGTAGAGTTGAGATATTCTTTGTAGTTTCTGCTAACTACATTGTGAACTGGGGCTGTTCTTTTATATTTGTAAAGGGCACTCAGTGGTATGAACAAACCAAAGAAGAATTGATGGCTCCTACCCTTCTTCCAGAACTCCACCTTTTAAAGCAGGTGAGTTGGATGTGACTTAGGGAGATCTATTCAAGGGATGAATTCAAACAGAAAAGCATAGCATTGAAGATAGCTAACTAAAAGCATATGCTTTCTCAGTGTTTTGTGGAAAATAGGAAAGCAGCAGCTGGAAGAATAGTCATGAAGAATAGAGATGCTCTTTAGTTGGAGATCTTTACTGATAGATTAGATGACCCCAGAACATGAGTCACATACATTTTTGTCTGGAAATGGAGCTTCTTAACTTCTTGATGTTTCTTTCTAGCCCAGTTATTCTCATTTCCTTCAGGAAGCATAGGTTTATTGTCAAACCAGCACCTTTTCAGCTTTGTATTGACAGTGTTTACATTTCTCTCTCCAGATTAAAGTTAAAGGCCCAAGATACTGGGAACTGCTCATAGATCTAAGCAAGGGAACACAGCACTTGAAGTGAGTATATTAATTTTCTCAGATGTATGTTTTAGGAAATGAATAGAAGTGTTGAAAGCATGGAAGGTATAAATTAGAGATCCTTATCTAGAATGGTCCTTGTCACCCTTTGATATCAGCCAGTAGGGTATACACTGAATTAAGTAGTCTATATCTTTGAAACAGGATTTATATTAGAAAATGAAATTAATTTAGAGTCTAAACTTTTAAATACTTGTATTTATTCATTGAGAAACTAGAACTAACGTAAGTTGGGACAATAATGGATTATCTCTTGGGACAATAATGGAAGATTTAGTTTCCGAAAATAAGACTGCTGTGTATGTCCACAAAGGGAGCTTTATCACAACTGATGTTTGTTAGACCGCATCTGTTGCATCTGTTTACCATTTATGTCCTCATAGATTTAAGAACATAATAGACTGCTTCTGGGTGGAAATAGTCATATGTACAGAGAGTGTTAATAATTTTTTGCCTTACATAGTGTATAAATTAAGTTTTCAAATTTAGAGGAAGGTTAACAAGCCTGTAATTCTTTTTATAGTTTTGTTGCAATTTATATTTCCCCCAAACTCTGTATAATAGCTGTTTTCTATATTTTTCTATCCTTAGATTTGCAGCACTATTTTCTTTCTGCTGCAAACCAATCAACAGATAATTTAATATCTCAAGTTCTATGCATAGTGCTAGATGAGAGAAAGAATACAAAGAAGTGTAAGATAAAATACTGCCTTTGAAGCTCACACTTTAGCAGGTGGTCAGAATGCCTCCTCATTTAACCAGTTCCATGAATACAGACAACAAAGAAAGGCAAAACTTTATTTTAGGCTTTCTCACAGGGACCAATTTAATTTTAGACACTAGGTAAATAATCATACACCCTGGTGGGAAATGGTGAAGGCTTCACCTCATGTTTTCAGTCAAGAATTGCAAACAATTCCTCATATTAAATTCATTCTTGTATTCTTTCAGATCAATCCTTTCCAAGGATGGGGTTTTATATGTTAAGCTGAGGGCTGGTCAGCTCTCCTACAAGGAAGATCCAATGGGATGGCAAAGTTTGTTGGCCCAGACTGTTGCTAACAGGAACTCTGAAGCTCGGGCTTTCAAGGTAGTATTGGTTGGTAAAAGCTGAATGATGAGAGGAATAGTTCCAGAAGCCCACAAGACCACCAAAAGCACATACTTCTATGGTTTCATTTATGATATCATTAAGGGATCTGCTTCCCTCTCTCATCGCTGCAGGTTGTAAAGACTAATTGACCTTGGGTCTGCTTGCAGTTTTATGTCATAATCAGTATGATTTACATTTTAGTTTAATAATTTTATTTACTACTCTAAATCAGTCAAGGTTTATGTAATGCATACCAAAAATAGGAGAAGATTTTTACAAGGTAGCATTTATTAATAAGCTCCATTTTTGAACCACCATTTGCTTAAATCTTGGTAAGGTTAAAGTAAAGAGACAACAGTTTATTTTAATTCAACTCAGATTTCATTTTATGTCAGTAATTTATGGCTAAGCCTTTATAATAGCCCCCAGGATTTAAATGTATATGGTTGACATCAGTGAATTTTATTTGGCAGTATTCCATAGGTGATCTGTGAAATACTTTGAAGGATTCTGGGACCAAGATTCATTTAAATTGGCACCGTTGGTTGCCTCTTACATAAGTTAGAGCCCATCTCAAGACTCTTAATCCAATGTGTAAAGAAAATAGCTGTTTGGACTTGAGTTTTAGATGGGGAAAGTGTATAAATATTGAAGACATCTTGATTTCCTGCCTTCTGGAAGTTCAGAAATTTTTAAATGTAAACCTTAATGGGAAGTTGTAATACCTTCATATTCCATTTTCATTCTTGAACTTGAATGGTATTCCTTTTTTCTTTACTTTTTTAGTAACATATCTAGTTGCTTTGTTAGTTAATCAGTGAAGGAAAGGAAAAGCCTTCTGTGGATAAGTTGTGTAAGAAAAAAGACTTGTGGATAAATTAGTAGCTCATATGAGCTTGTGCAGAACATCTTATAACTTCTTAGCAGTTACAGGTTGATGAAGCTCTAGCAATTTGGCACAACCTTGGTTTTATGGCAACGTTGTGTGAAAAAAAGAGAGGTAGTCTTAGCACCATGTGGACTGCAATTTGAGCAGTAAGGAACATGATCTTTATAATATCACTTATATTTGTTATTTGTTTGCTTGTTTGTTTTTTAGCCAGAAACTATTTCAGCATTCACTTCTGACCCAGCACTTCTGTCATTTGCTGAATATTTCTGCAAACCAACTGTGAACATGGGTCAGGTATGTATTATATGGTTTGCTGAAGCTCTGCAACTGAAATTTGTTATTATTTCTTTCTGTGGACCACCAAAAAATATCTATAATATTTATATATCTATATTGAGAATTTGATGACATGCCTCTGGCACACTATTAATCGGAAGAATGATTCTCACTTGGCAAATACAGCTTTTTCGTACTCTGAAACTATTAAATTCAATAACTTCTACTTTGGTAGAAGAAATACCTTAAATATTCTAAGACATTAGCTTTGATAGATGATTCCTTCCTATGTCCATTATTAAACTTATCTATGTTCTCAGTGTTCCTCACCATCTTTCTCTTGTTATTACATAATTTTATTAATTTTGTTTCCTTTTTATATTACAACCCTTTTTTCTGTTGGTCATTAAACTGTTCTCTTCAGAATTCAAAGGGCACCTACCAGATCTTTGATTTAATTCATCATTGCACAGACAGGCAAAGATTGGATTTAGGAATTAAATGATCTGGGATTGAAGGCATTTCACCTGCAAGTGTGTGTGGTCTTGGGAAAAATTTATCAACCTCTCCAAGATACAGTTTCCTCATTTCTAAAAGTGAAATTATAATAGAACCTACCTTACAATTTCGTTTTGAGGGTAAAGTGAAATAACCTTACCCTCTTCTTTTTACTGAGTCCTTACTACTGTGTATCTCAGGAGCCCTGGTGTTGCAGTGGTTAAAGTGCTCGGCTTCTAACCAAAAGGTCGACGTTTCAAACAAAACAGCCGGCCTGCAGGAGAAAGATGTGGCAGTCTGCTTCCAAAAAGATTTACAGCCTTGGAAACTCTATGGGGCAGTTCTGCTCTGTCCTACAGGGTCACAATGAGTCAAAATGGACTTGACGGCGGATGGTTTTTGTTTTTTTCTCTTTTCTGTATATCTGACACTGTGCTGAGTACTTTATGTAATTATCTCATTTAATTCTGACCCTGAGGGTGGATGCTGTATCATTCTGGGTTTATAGATGAGAAAACTACTCCTCAGAGATGTCACATGCCAAAGTCACACACCTAGTAACTGCTGGGGTGTAGACTGAAGACCACAGGTCTCCAACCCTAAAGCACATGGCTGACCTTAACCCTAGCTAGCCTTGACTGTGCTACCTCCTCTGGACTAGTTCTGCTTGGTTTCTTCTTCTGTATCTTTGTTGATGCTGGGTTCCATTTCTGGATCCTACTCTTCCCAGCCAACCCAAGGCAAATGCCCTGTCTGTTCATTTCACTCTAACTTGATCCATTTCTTCTCCCCCATAGCACTTAATTATCCTTAACGGTCCCTTAGACTTAATTTGGTTGTATGTAACTACTTTTTTTTGTTGTTGAGAATATACACAGCAAAACATACACCAGTTCAACACTGATTACATTCTTTGTGTTGTACAACTATTCTCCTCCTCTTTTTCTGAGTTGTTCCTCCCTCATTAACATAAATTCACTGCCCTCTAAGATTCCTGTCTAATCTTTTGATACGCTGTTATCAGTTTGATCCCATATAGATAGTTCTTAAAAGAGTACAATACTCAAGGCAGACCTTTTTAACTAGTTAAGCTAAACTGTGGTTTGGTTTTAAGAAGAGTTCCAGGGATATTTGTGATTAAAGGTTTAAAAATTATCTCAGGGAAAAAAATAGTTTCAGGGGGTCATCCAACCTTCATGGCTCCAGGAAGTCTGGAGTCTATGAGAATTTGAAATTCTGTTCTCTGTTTTCCCTCTTTTAATCAGGATTGTTCTATAGAATCTTTGATCAAAATGTTCAGTAATGGTAGCCGGGCACCAGCCAGTTCTTCGGGTCTCATGGCAAAGGATGCAGTTGTTCATGGAGGCAGTTAGCCACACATTCCATATCCTTCTCCTGTTCCTGACTCTCCTTCTTCCTGTGTTGCTCCAGGCAAATAGAGACCAATTTTTGTGCCTTGGATTGCCATGTGCAGGCTTTTAAGACCCTAGGCACTATGCAACCAACTAGGAGGTAGAACAGAAGCACTAAATGCGTATTAGGCCAATTAATTGGGCTATCCCATGAAACTACGACCCTAAACCTCCAAACCAAGGAACCAAATCCCATGAGTAGCCTCAGCAGCTATTCTGTTTTTGTTTTTTGGGTTTTTTTTTTTTTGTTTGTTTGTTTGTCATGTGGTAAATATATCTGTCACACAGCTTTTGCCAATTTAACTTTTTATAGGTGTACAGTTTGTTGACAGCAGTTACAATAATCAACTGTGAAACCATACCCTTAATAAGTGTGATATTTCCATCACTGTTAACCCTCCCTTTCCCCATCCTTCGCACCCCTAGTAACCACTGATAAACTTTGTTCTCTATACATTTGCCTTTTCTAGTCTTTTTATATAAGTGAGGTCATACAATGTTTGTCGTTTTATGACTGGCTTATTTCACTCAGAATGATGTCTTCAAGTTCCATCCTTACTGTAGCATGTATCAAGATTTCATTTCTCCTACTGGCTGATTAGTATTTCGTTGTATGTATGTATCATATTTTGTTATCCATTCATTTGTTGATGGGCATTTAGGTTGTTTCCACCTTTTGGCTAGTGTGAGTAGTGCTGCAATGGACATTAGTGTACAAGTCTCTGTTTGAGTCTCTGCTTTCATGTCTTTTGGGAATATACCCAGGAGTGGAATTGCTTGGTCATATGGTGGTTCTGTTTTTAGTTTTTTGAGGAACTGCCACACTGTTTTCCGTAATGGCAGTACCATTTTACATTCCAACCAGCAATGCATAAGGGTTCCAGTTTTCCTACATCACTGCCACCATTTGTTTTCTATTTTTTTAATCTTAGCCCTCCTAGTGGGAGTGAAATGTTATCTCATTGTGGTTTTGATTTGCATCTCTGATGGCTAGTGATACTGAGCATCTTTTCAAGTGTTTGGTGACCATTTGACAATCCTCTTTCGTGAAATATCTATTCAAGTCCTTTGCCCATTTTAATTTGTCTTTTTGTTAAGTTGTCGAAATTTTACATACATTTTTATTATTAGTTTCTTGTCGGATATATAGTTTCTGAAGATATTTTCCCAATGAGTAGCCTGTCTTTTCACTTTTTTGGTAAAGTCTTTTGATGACGAAAGTTTTTTAATTTTTATGAGGTCCCATTTATTTATTTTGGCTTTTGCTGTCTCTGCTTTTGTTATTATATTAGATAATCCATCGTTGAAATCTAGGCCTGACATGATTGCCCCTGCATTTTCTTCTAAGAATTTTAAGGTTTTTGTTTGCACATTTAGGTCCTTAATCCGTTTTGAATTTGTTTTTGTGTATGGCGTGAGGCACAGATCCTGTTCATTTTTCTGCATGTGGAAATCAGTTCTTCCAACACCATTTATCGAAGAGACTTTTCTTTCCCCATCGAGTGAACTTAGCATCCTTGTCAAATATCAGTTGACCATGGAGGTGTGTGTTTATTTCTGGACTCTCAGTTCTGTTCTGTTGGTCTACATGTCTACTGTTAACACCAGTACCAGTCTGTCTTGATTACTGTAGCTATATAATATATTTTAAAATCAGGAAGTGTGAGTCCTCCTACCTTGTTCTTCTCTTTCAACATTGCTTTAGCTATTCAGGGTGGCACAGTGGTTAAGAGTTCGGCTGCTGACCAAAATGTCAGCAGTTTGAATCCACCAGCGACTCCTTGGGGCAGTTCTCCTCTGTCCTATAGGGTCACTATGAGTCGGAATCGACTTGACAGCAGCAGGTTTGGTGTTTTGGTTTTGGTTTTCCATATAAAGTTGAGGATTGGTTTTTCTATTTCTATAAAGAATGCAGTTGGAATTTTGATCGAAATTGTGTTGGGTAATATTGACATCTTAACAATATTAAGTCTTCCAATCCATGAACATGGAACATCTTTCCATTTATTTAAGTCTTCTTTAATCTCTTTTAGCAGTTGTTTTGTAGTTTTCATTGTATAAATCCTTCATGTTCCTGGTTATATTTATTCCTAGTTATTTGTTCTCTTAGATGCTATTGTAAATGGAATTGTTTCCCTAATTTCCCTTTCAGATTTCTCATTGCTGATATATAGAAACCCAACTGATTTTTCTTTGTTGACCTTGTACCTGCAACTTTGCTAAATTCTTATATTAGCTCTGGAAGTTTTCTTGTGAACTCTTTGGTATTTCTGTATGTAGGATCATATCATCTGCAAATAGAGATAATTTTACTTCTCCTTTTCTAATCTGGATACTTTTTATTTCTTTTTCTTGTCTAGTTGTTCTGGCTGGAACTTCTAATACAATATTGAATAGTAGTGATGATAGTGGGCACCCTTGTATTGTTTCCGATTTCAAGGGGAAAGCTTTCAGTCTTTCTCCATTAAGTATAATGTTGGCTTTTTGTATATGCCCTGAATCATATTGAGGGATTTCCCTTCTATTCCAATCTTCTTTAGGATTTTCATCAAGAATGTGTGTTGGGTTTTATTGAATGCTTTTTCTGCATCGATAGAGATAATTGTGCGGTTCTTTGTTCTGTTGATGTGGTATATTACATTGATTGATTTTCTAATGTTGAACCATCCCTGCATTCCTGGGATAAATCCCACTTGGTCATGGTGTATGATTCTTTTAATATACTATTGGATTCTGTTCGCTAGTGTTTTGTTGAGGATGTTTGCATCTGTATTCGTAAGAGATATTGGCTGTAGTTTTCTTGTGGTGTCTGTTTGGTTTGAATATCAGGGTTACATTTGCTTCATAGAATGAATTGGGAATATTCTTTCCTTCTCTACCTTTTGGTAGAGTTAAACAGAATTGGTGTCAATTCTTCTCTAAATATTTGGTAGAATTCCCCAGTGAAGCCATCTGGACCATGACTTTTTTTTGTTGGGAGGTTTTTTATTAGTGGTTCGATCTCTTCACCTGTTACCAGTCTGCTGAGACTTTCTATTTCCTCTTGAGTCAGTTTGGGTAGGTCGTGTACTTCTAAGAATTTGTCCTTTTCATCTGGATTATCCAGTTTGTTGCCATATAGTTGTTCATAATATTCTGTCATAATTTTCTTAATTTCTATAGGATCAGTTGCAATGTCCCCTCTTTCATTTTTTATTTTGGTTATTTGCATCTTTTCCCTTTCTTTCTTTGTCAGTCTAGCTAAAGATTTGTGAATTTTATTGATCTCTTCTCAGAATCAGCTTCTGGTTTTATTGATTCAGTGTTTTTCTGTTTTCGATTTTATTTATCTCTGCTCTTATCTTTGTTGTTTCCTTTCTTCTAGTAGATTTAGGCTTAGTTCTTTTCTTTCTAGTTCCTGTTGTTGTTGAGTTAGGTTGTTAATTTCAGATCTTTTTCATTTTTCATGTAGACATTTATTGCTATAAGTTTTCTTCTAAGTACTGCCTTCACTGCCTCCCATAAGTTTTGGTATATTGTGTTTCATTTTCATTTGACTAAGAAATTTGTGATGTCTCTTGATTTCTTCCTTGACCCATTGTTAATTTAATAGTTTGTTGTTTAATTTCCATGTCTTTATGTATTTTCAAGGTTTTTTTCTGTTACTGATTTTTAGCTTCACTTCTTTGTGATCAGAGAAAATACTTTGTATGATTTCAGTCTTTTTAAATATATCAAGTCTTACTTTGTTATCTAACATATGGTCTATCCTAGAGAAAGATCCATGTGCACTGAGAGTAGAATGTATATCGTGCTGTTCTCGGATGGAGTGTTTATGTATGTCTGTTAAGTCTAGTTGGTTTGTAGTGTCATTCACGTCCTCTGTTTCCTTGTTGATCTTCTTTCTAGATAGTCTGTTCAATACTGAAATTGGTGTATTGAAGTCTGCAACTATTATTGTAGTTCTGTCTATTTCTCTCTTCAGTTCTATCAGTGTTTGCTTTATATATTTAGGTATCCTAATGTTGGGTCCATTTACACTTATGATTGTTAAATCTTCTTGATTGACTCTTATCACTATATAATGTCCATCTTTATCTCGTCTAAGGAGTCCTAGTGACACAGTGGTTCAAGTGCTTGGCTGCTAACTGAAAGGTCCGCTGTTCAAACCCACCAGCTGGTTCATGGGAGAAAGATGTGGCAGTCTGCTTCTGTAAAGATTTACAGCCTTGAAACCCTATGGGGCAGTTCTACTCTGTCCTACAGGGTCACTATTAGTCGGAATCGACTCAGTGGCAGTGGGTTTCGTTTGGTTATCTCTTCTAATGGATCTTGTCTTAAAGTCTACTTCATCTGATACTAAGATTGTGACCCCCGGTCTCATTTGGTTATTATTTGCATGGAATATTTTTTACCATCCTTTCACTTGTAACCTCTTTGTGTCCTTGGGTTGAAGGGGTGTGTCTCTTGTAAACAACATATTGTTGGATCATGTTTTTTTAATTCCTCTGCCACTCTCTGCCTTTTGATTGGAGCATTTAGTTCATTTACATTCACTGTAATTACATATAAGAAGTGACTTAGTTCTACAGTTTTGTTTTTTGTATGACTTAAGCCTTCTTTGTCTTTGTCCTTTAGTACTGCTTGCTTTTGTGTTTTGTTGGCTTATTCTAGTGAGGCTTTTTGGTTCCCTTCTCCTTTCCTTTTGTGTATGTTTTTTGTATATGTTCTTAGTGGTTACCATGTGTATTACATTTAACAGCTTACATTTATAACATTCTAGGGTAAGTTGATACCAACTTAACTTCTGTAACATACAAGAAATTCTATTATCTGTACTGTTCCTCTCTCCCCCCGCCCTTTGTTGTTGTTATCATTAATTGCATCTTTACATTTCAAGTGCCCTGTGACATAATTTTATCTTTACCTTTTCTATATTTGTTATTAAAAAACATGAAGGATGAAACATTTAGAATTATCAAGCATGAATACCTTTTTAATAGCACTATACTTGTCTGTGTATTTACCTTTATTAGGGATCTTTCTTTTTATTCATACCTTTGAATTACTTTCCAGTGTGTTTTCCCTTCCATCTATAGAACTCCCGTTAGTATTCTTTGTAGAGCCGGTCTGGTGGATGTGAACTCTCTCAGCTTCTGTTTGTCTGAAATGTTTTAATTGCACCCTCATTCTTGAAGTTTCACTGGGTGTAGTATTCTTGGTTGACAGTTTTTTTCTTTCAGCACTTGAAATATATCATTCCGTTGCCTTCTGGCCTTTAATGTTTCTGAGGAAAAATTGGTACTCAATTTTATTAGGGAACATTTTTATGTGACTGTTTGCTTCTCTCTCACTGCTTTCTGGGTTCTTCCTTTATCTTTAGTTTTTGAGAGCCTAACTATGATGTGTCTTGGTGTAGATCTCTTTAGGTTTATCCTGCTTGGAGCTCTTTGAGCTTCTTGGATTTGTAGACTCATGTCCTTCGTGAGATTGGGAACATTTTCTGTCATTATCTCTTTAAATATTCTTTCTGTCCCTTCTCTCTCTCGTCTCCTGCTGGAATTCCCATGATGTGTGTATTGTGTCTCTTGTTGTCCCATAATTCCATTAAACTGAGCCTCTGTTCTTGTTACTTTTCAGCATCTATAATTTTAACCATCTTATCCTCTAATTCACTGATTCTTTCTGATTTTATTACTTTTTAATGTGGCATGCTTTTGTAAAGAGATAGCTGTTTTATTATTTTATGTCATTCACTTTGGAGCTTAAGAATCAGCCATAGTGGTTGCTATACAGTTAATTCTTGAATTTGGAATATACATTGATGTGCTATACAAAACTCTGATTCTCCACAGAAACAGGAAATTCTGGATCTCTTTTCTTCAGTACTCTATGAATGTGTTACTCAGGAGACCCCGGAGATGTTGCCTGCATACATAGCGATGGATCAGGTACAGTTTGAAAAACATATTCCAATTCTGATGAGATTTATCCTGTATTTTAGGTATCATATTGAACAGTATAGTAAGATTCCCTACATGTTGATCTTCTTAGTTTCTCATTTGCTTTTAGAAATTAAAAAACATTCCTATCAAAGTTGACAAGTCTATACATATCAAAAAAGCTTCAAATTTATGATGACTGGAATGTCCTTTGGGAGGCTGTCCTAACCTAGGGGTTCCCATTTTCCCATTCTGTCCTGTTTCCCTGAGTGGAAGAGGTAGAGAAAAATTTTCTCTCTTTCTCTGCTAGCATCCTTATCTGGTCTCTTGCCTTCTTCCTGACGAAGCCTTGTTGTGAAAAACACTATGCAAATGAGTAGTAAATAAACAGTGCCCAAATGTTAGCAGTATTGTGAAATTATACCTATGTGTTTAAGCTGGCAAGGGGTTACAAAATTAGTAGGTAGTGGTTTAGGGAGTTCAAGTTCATTTTTAAAGTTTTTTGTGTTATAGCTTACAGAGCCTAAAGGAATAATGCAGAAGATAATTCTTAACAGCTTTCTTAAAGCATCCCTACTGGTTGCAGCTGTGGTGACTTAAGAGGGGTTCCAAGAGATGGGGTTTTAAGATCACTCACTAATAACACACACTGCAATCATTAAATCAGAAAATGCAACGGATTTATCATACAGTATAGATGTTTGGTGTATATATCTTCTTAATTAGATTATAAACTTATCAGTAGTGTTGTTTTTGCCTTCTGCCTCACTCTTGGGATCCCTGGCCTGTCTTTGTACCCCCACTTTGGTTTTCCAGAGGTGACTGGCTGTAGACTTATTAAGTCTTGAGTATTCAGAGCTCTTGAGCCAAGAATGAGCTCAGTTGCCTTTATTGCTTTTACCTGAAAGCTGTTCATGTGGCGGCCGTATTAAAAAAAGTAGGCCATGTACCTATACTCAGTGAAGGGCATTTCTATGGGGCAGAATACATCAAAACACAGAATGAATCACCCCACTGCTCTTTATTGATTTTATGAACTACATTTTTAAAAGGCAGCATACTCTATGTACCTCTGAGGAAGAGACAACTAGAGCAACTTCACTGTTTCATTAAATGGATTGTTATTTCTCTTTTCTCTTCAAGGCTATAAGAAGACTAGGAAGAAAAGAAATGTCTGAGACATCTGAGCTTTGGCAGATAAAGTTGGTGCTAGAGTTTTTCAGCTCCAGAAGCCATCAGGAGCGACTACAGAACCACCCCAGCCGAGGGCTCTTCATGAACTCTGAATTTCTCCCTGTTGTGAAGTGCACTATTGATAATAGTCTGGACAGGTGGCTACAAGGTAATCAGAGCTTTGTATCCTTTGTGCTTTTAAGATATATTGTACTCAGGCTTTTCTGTTTTAATATTTTTTTATTGGTAAGCAAGATAAATCTGAGTATAAGTCAGAATGTCTGTAAGATGTAATGTTTCCAGTTAGGTAAATTAGACTGATTATCTGCTTCAGCTTCTTTAAAAAATACATTTAACTGCTGTATAAACCATGCAGAGAATATATGAATGAATCCATTATTGAATGAATGCTTGTTTTACCAGCTCTGTGGGTTAGTCAGTGAGAACCTGGGACATCATGTAACACTGGCTTTCTCTCAGTGGAAATACTAACTTGTGATTTCAAGGGCATTGTGAAGTTGCTCATGACAGTGGAGAGGTGACTCTGCCTCACATGAGGCAAATGATGGGGCCTTTAATTTTTGGAAAGGTGTCTTATATGTGATATGTGCCTGAAATTGATTTTGAGTAGTCAATTCCTTGATCTTTTTATTCTTTTCAGTTAATTCAGGTGCTTCTGATAACGTACCTGACAGCAGCCTGCTTTGAGTAAATACTAACCTTAATAATATCAGTAGTAACAATTCTTGATTCTTTAAAGCTGTTGGTAATAAAAAGAACCTAAGAGCTTGAACATAATTCAGTTAAAAACTGTCCACCTATAATAATAGGAAATTAATTTCTGGAAAAAAAATTATAAACTAAATTTTATGAATGATGTACATGGAAAGCAGCAATATCAGACTTTCAGTGTTCGTGGTTAACACCTGCATCTGATCTATGATTTCATCATAGGATTTAAAAAAAGTGTAATTTTTTTATTCTTTAAAATTAAAAAATAAGCATTTTGTTCTTAGTTTTGGAAAAATACAAGTTATTTCATAGGTTTTGGTGTTTTGCTTTTATTCAGTTTAGTATTTCATCACTCTAGTGGACTTCTGCTATTGATAAAGACCTTTGCTCAAATCTTTGTAGAGTCTCTGGTTTGCAAATACTTTGGCAATGACTAGAGCATTCTCAAGGAGTCCTGGTGGCGCAGTGGTTAAAGCATTTGGTTGCTAACCGAAAGACCAGCAGTTCGAACCTACCAGCTGCTCCACGGGAGAAAGATTTACAGCCTTGGAAACCCTATAGGGTCTGTCCTAGAGGGTCCCTTTGAGTCAGAATCGACTTCACAGCAGTGGGTTTGATTTTGGTTGGTTTAGAGCATTCTCTAAAACAGTGCCCTGAGTTGCTTTCTTATTGCCCTGTATGGCATTTGGTGGTTTACAGCCTTGTTCTGAGTCTTCACCAAGTTTGACTTGCCACTCTGATTTACCAAAAACATATTTATCTTCTTGTGAAGAACTATCACTTTTTAAAGACTCTTAAAGTTATGATCTCCCCTTCCACTAGCAGTTGGCTTGGGCTGGAGAACAGTAAAGCCAAGTGATTGCTTGAATCTGTCCACATTTTACTACTTCTGTCTTAGAACAAAACCACTGTTCTTGCCTGGACCACTGTTAAAGCCTCCTTACTAGTCTTTTTATTCTCATCTCCCTTTTAACCATTTCTAATCAATTGCCTGAACAGTCTTTTTAGAGAGTAAATTGATACCCACACTCATACTTATCAAAACCTTTCAAATGCTGCCTATTGATTTGTGATAAAAATCCTTATGGCCACCAGGTCCTGCTTGACCCGCTTTCTTCTACAACCTCAGTTTGCACCACTTGCTCGTCACAAACTGTACTTCAACTACTACTCTTTCACTTTCCGGTTTCCTATACGCACTGAGCTCTTTCTCACCACAGGGCTGTTGAATGTGTTGCTTACCCTCCTTAGAACTTTTTCTTCTTGTTCTTTGCCTGCATGCTCCTATTCATCCTTACAGCCTCAGTTTAAATGCCCTTTCCTCATAGGTCTTCCAAGACCACACTACCTCAGGTAGCTTTCCTGCCGTCTTTATTTCTCTCTCTCTTTCTTTTACTCTGAACTTTTTCCCCCATATCAAAATGCCTTTTTGTCTGCAAGTAACAGACCTGACTCAACCTGGTTTAAACAATAAGGACATGTTTAAACTTGTGTTGGAAGTCCACAGGTAAGATGGGCTTAAGGATCATTTTTTTCCAGTGGTTTCAACTCCATTTCTCTGAGATTTCACCTGTTATACTCTGTGCCATAGCTTTATCCTCAGAGGGCTTTGTGTTGTGGTGCTAAAATGGCTCTAACAGTTCCTGGCTTCACCGAGCTCAGCATGATGCCCAGAGGAAGAACAGAGTTGCTCCTAGTAACTTCGTCATACGAATGAGGAAATTCTTTCCCATAAGCCTCTAGCAAACATGTCATTAAGCATTTCTAAATATTTCTGGCTTGAGTTGAATCTCATGCACATTCCTGAATCAGTCCCGGTGACAGAATATTTCTTACTGAATAGTTTAGGTCTTCCTGTCCCTGAACTATTTACTGTGTCAGGGGAGTGGGATTGCCTTGATTCCCTAGACCAGTGGTTCTCAGAGTGTGATCTCTGGAGCAGGAGCAGCACCTGGGAACTTGTTAGATACGTAAATTTTTGGCCCCATCCTGGATATACTGGATCCGAAACCCTGGGGATTGGGCCCGCCAGTTTATGCTTTTACAAGCTCGCCTGGTGATTCTGATGCACGTTAAAGTTTGAGAACCACTGGTCGAGGCTAATCAGGATTTAGTCCTGTAGCTGAGATCACTCCCCTTAAATGTTACATAGTGGCGGGAAAGGTACCAGGACGGGTGTTTGGTGAGACAACCACACCTTTATAGCAGTCATCACAATTTGTAATATTTGTCTCCCACAATATTCTAAGCTCCCTAATGATATGCACACTATCTAGTTTACCAGAATAACCTCACAGTACCTGCCTGCTAAATGGTAAGTGCTGAGTATGTTCTTTTTTTTATTCTTTAAATTTTATGTATTTTGTTGTCGTTGAGGATATACACAGCAAAACATACACCAGTTCAGTGGTTTCTACATATACAATAATGTTCCCATGCAATCTTTTAAGTTGCTGTTGTCACTTTGATCCCATATAGATCTTAAAAGAGCATAGTACTCAAGGCAGACCTTTTTTACTCGTTAAGCTAAATAAACTATTGTTCTATTTTAAGAAGACTTCAGGGGATATTTTTGGTTCAGGGTTCAAAGATTATCTCAGGACAGTAGTTTCAGGGGTTCACCCAGCCACCATGGCTCCAGAAAGTCTGTGAGAATTTAAAATTCTGTTCTGCATTTCCCCCCACCGCCCACCACCCATTTGATCAGAATTCGTCTATGGACTCTTTGATGAAAATGTTCAGTAACAGTAGCTGGGCACCACCCAGTTCTTCTGGTCTTGTGGCAAAGGAGGCAGTTGTTCATGGAGGCAGTTAGCCACACATTCTGTATCCTCCCCCTATTCCTGACTCTCCTTCCTGTATTGTTCCAGGTGAATAGAGATCATTTGTGCCTTGAATGGCCAAGTGCAAACTTTTAAGACCCCCAAGCACTACGCAGCAAACTAGGAGGCAGAACCAGAAGCACTAAATGCATATTGGGCTAGTTAAGTGGGATATCCCATGAAACCATGACCCTGAACGTCTAAACCAAGGAACCAAATCACATGAGGTGTTTGGTTGTACATAAGCAGGCTCAGCAGCTACT